GGATGGTGATTGTGCCAAAAATTAGTAGGCTGTCAGTCTTTTGTGCATTTAACTGGCAAGATCAGGATGAAGGAGCAAGTGATGGTGTCCCTGAGAAGCTTCCAGCACCCCAATACTGTCAACATTGTTCCCCTGGATACATTCCTCCAAAGTAGCTTTTTTTCTCCCCCATTCCCTCTATTATGAAACTCTGGTCAAAGAGGAAGGAAAGCCAGAGGTAGGGATGGATGAGGAATCTCATTAGGTGGTGAAAATCCAATTGAATTTCTTAGCTATGCCATTGCATCACCTCTGTGCTGGCATTGGCTGAACCTGATGTGAGTCAAGCTAACAAGCAGACCTCCCTTTTTAAATGGGTCACAATTTGTGTATTATGCCAGGGACAATGTGTGCAAAATTTAGGTGTCCTGTTACCCATTTGCACAAATTGCATGCATTTCAGAAACTCCAGAGAGGAGGCCAAATTTTGCACAAATCTCAAATCAACTGACAGAAAAGCCAAAGTCAACACAGTGGAAGATAAGAGGAAGATGCTTCTGGTTGTACTTTTTGATGTGTTGATGATTTGTAAGAGGTGTTTATGTGGGCAGTGGGGAGGGATTAGTAGTATTTGTAACAACCTCCACACACCTATTGCATTAAAAATATTGCTTCTACACTGTTATGCTAGACCAGGTGTGTCCAAACTTTTTGCAAGAAGGGCCAGATTTGGTGAGGTGGAAATGTGTGGGGGCCGACCATTCAACCTGACATTGTTTGAACCATTAACATTAAATGCAAATGAACTATTTTATGAAAGACTAAACGAATAACTTAACTGCACTAATGTGAAGGGTGATACTGAGATCTTGACTGCATTATATAGGCCAGGTCTGGCTCAAAAACAGTGGTTTTGATGCGCAAGATGTCATGCTGGTGAAAGTCACTTAGTCTCGTCCTCACGCGGTTCATGTTAATGTTCATAACTGAGAATGTCTTCTCGCACAAGTATGTCAAACCAAACAAACTCAGCATTTTCTTAGCAAATGTTCAAATCTCTTAGAACCTGTCTTTATCCAGCTGGCAGTAAAAGTTGACAAGAGGGAGCTGTTGGTGCCGACTGCGACACTTGGCATCATACTGCAGCTCAATGAGCTCCAGCTGCAGGTGGTCTGGAGCGTCATCAGCGTCCACAGAGAAAGGAGATGAAAAAAGCGTGATCTCCTTTTCAATAGCTGCAAAATCCTGAAAGCGCTGTTGAAACTCCTCAGCCGGAGATGCGATGTCTGCTTCATACCTCCTTATTTGCGCACTCATATTGTTCTGTGGAAAACTGGTCATTATTTCCTGCAGCGATGGGAAATGTTTGGTTTTGGGCTGCATTTGTGACAGGTGCATTTGGAAAAGGAGCGGCTTGGTCCCAAAGGCTTTGATATGTGAATACAGTTGGCTTACCACTGCATTTCGCCCCTGAAGTCTCGTTTTCAGCAAATTCAGATGTCGTGTTATGTCAACTAAAAATCCAAAATCAGCCAGCCAAACAGGATCAGATAGCTCTGGCATCGGTTGTCACTTTTTTGCCAAGAATTGTCCGATTTCCTCCCTAAGAGTAGAAGCGCTGCAGTGCAGACCCCCGACTGAGCCATCTTACCTCGTTGTGATACACAACATCTCCGTATTCAGCCTGGATGTCGAGTAGAAACTGTTGAAACTGATGGTGGCACAGGGCTTTGGAGCGAATATAATTAATAGCCTTCATCACTGGTTTCATAACATGATCCTATTTCAGATGTTTGGCACAGAGAACTTGTTGGTGAATAATACAGTGGAGTTTTATAGCTTTGCCTCCTTCTTCGCTGACTTTGTTACAGACTAGGGTTTATAATCCACTTTGCTTGCAAGCCATGGCAGGTGCGCCATCTGTAAGAATCCCAGTGACTTTATTCCATGGTAGTTTCATGTCATCTACAGCGGAACAAACAGAAACAAATAAATCTGTTCCTCTTGTTTGGTCCTTAAGGCTCTGGAGGTCAAGTAGCTCTTCACTCACATTCATGTCACTGTCCACTCTTCTCAAATCAGTAACTGAACAGTGTCAGATGTATCCATGCTTTCATCACAGGCTAACAAAAAAAAGTCAAACTCCACTCCTTTTGTCTCTAACTGTCTCTTAATATCAGATGAAATGTCTTCAATTCTCCGTACCACAGTGTTATGAGCCAGGCAAACATTGGCAAACTCTTGCTTCTTCTCAGGACAAATTTTCTCCACCATTCTCATCAAGCAGTCTTTAATAAATTCACCCTCAGTAAAAGCTTTGCAGTGCTTGGCAATCAGCGTTGCCACCTCATAGCTTGCCTTTGTGGCATTTTCATTTGACTCATGGGCTCTTGTGAAAGACCGCTGCTGTGCCATTAAAGCAGCTTCCAGTTCCTTCAATTTTTCGCCACGTTCGTTCCCAGTTAGCTTGTTGTAGTTAGCATGTTTCGTCTGGTAGTGCCTCTTGATATTGAATTCCTTGAAAACAGCCACAGTCTCTTGGCAAATTAGGCAGACACAGTTGTTTCATATTTCAGTGAAAAAATACTCCAATTTCCACTTGTCCTGGAAGCAGCGGCCCTTGATGTCAACTTTCCTTTTTTTAGTTACAGTCGCCATTTTAGAAATGGGCACACAAGCCTTGTGTCACAAGGGTCACACGGCAAGAGTGCTGACTCAGGTCTACTGTCAACTTCTGGTGAACCACCAGCCTTGAAGGAGCAGGAGGCAGCAGGGGACAGCTGTGGAAACCACTGCTCAGTGAAGGGAAAAACGCAGGCCTGTGAGGATGAGTGACAGGCTGAGCTGGCAGGGAGAAGAGGCTGCGGGCCTCTCAAAATTTGAAAATGGGCCGCAATTGGTCCCCGGGCTGGACTTTGGACATGCCTGTGCTGGACTGTTGTCTTGCTTTTGTTCCATTTCTATCCTTTTGTATCTGAGGGGGTGATCAACAAAAATACACAGGCACTATTCTCTAAAACCCCCTTATGTGCAAGGATTCTGGAATAGTTTTGTACGAAAAAAACCCCCAAAGGTTTCTTTCTTGAATTTTCATTTGAAGGTGATACCTAAAATCTTCAACAACATCCTGTTGCCATTTATAATCATGCAATCATGCAAGACATTTGAATGCCCTTTGGCATTCATTCTTTAGTAATCCTTTTTTACTAAGTCCAGATTGCATTGTTATTGACTTTCTGGATGGACATCCACAGAGAAATCCATCCATCCAACATTACTGTCATTGTCACAAATCCAGGGTAGCAAAACAATCACAACTGCAGAAGCCTGAGATCCCATTGTAATCATGGAAGACAGGACAAATTATATATATATACATATATATATATATATATATATATATATATATATATATATAAAATATATAATTACATGTGTATAAACAAGCAAAGGATATATATACACACACATATATATCCTTTGCTTGATGGTTTCTCTAAGAGGCAGAGAGGTCAAAGGATTTTAATTAATTATCAGATCTGAGTCATGGGCCTGTGTGTCACTAAGGACCTCAGTACAAATGGAGTCCAAGCCTTTCCTGAACTCATTAGCCTAGATTGACAGCTGAGGGAAAGAGGAATTTGGCTGTGGCACAGTCATGCTTCATAATTCCTGGGTTTACCATCCTGTGTACACACCTAGGGACTGGTGACAAGAATAACCAGAGACAGCAGGTCCGCTGGGGGTGTCCTATCGAAAGAACATTTACAGTTTATTTGGACATGCCGGAAACACATGTGGTGTGTAGGCAGCCCATGAAGAGAATACCCTGGTGGGGTCTGTACAGGATGCTTTTACAAACTATCAGTTACATACAAAGTTGTGGCGGGGGGGGGGGTACCTGCTCAGTGACATTAGAGTGAAACAATAGGGGCTAAAAAAAACAGCACAAAAAAGAACCTTCAGGACAGGAACATGGGCATTTCTATGGCATACGTGGGAATTATAGCTTGCAACAAGGGTTCCTGATCAGATCAGGAATCCCATCTTTAGTCTAAAACTGTTCTTACAGGGCCAGGCTTTTAGTAGCCCTTTAAGGGCTGAGTTTTTGCCAGTTTTGGTTAGACTCTTGTTTCTAAATCAACCCAGGTGGAAGATTCCCTAGAGCCCAAATTCTGCCTAGTTGGACCACAATGGATCTTTTTTCTCCTTGTTAAAAGATTGTTAAGCTCTTTAGTATAGTTTTGTAGTGCCTGTTTCAGCAGCCTGTTACCAACCTGGAGTTGCATTTTTCTTTTTGTTCCCATACTGAGACGGGGAAACAACCAATTTAAAAATAGATATCAGGGGAGTTCAATGGGAAAAGTATACCTAGATAATATTTGCTGACAGAATCTGAGATGGTAACCCTTCACAAAGCAGACAATCCTTCTGTGGACTCTGCTAAGTCCCAGATTCCATGCTTTGAGGAGAGAAAACATTCTTAGGAAGTTTCTGAAGGAGGAAGGTGGAAGACTCCTTAAGCTCCAATATCAGATTTCTGAAAAGTTCTCTGTGCTATCACATGGAAGGTCTTAAGCTTAAGCCACATGGATGTTGCACACCAACAAAAGGTCTTGCACTTCTCAAAGAGGACCTGGGTCCAAACATGCATCATACAGAGGTACCAAAGTAGAATAATCTCAAAAAGATTTGAGATGCAAAAAGCATAATGCAAGTTTGTATTTCAGGTGCCACAATGCATATGGCATGTGCTTGTGTATGCAGACATACATACAGTAATTCCTAAGAGACTATAAACTTGATTTTAAAACGGTTCTACAAGTTAAAGATGAAAATTAGGAATATATTGCAATACAGTCCAGTGTTTGAATCTCCTGGTGGAAGGAAATGGCTCAGCAGAGGGCAAAGGGGCCCCATTGTTTTACATATATCTATTACTGGCTTGCCTTGGCTTGCCTTGGCTTGGCTTGGCTTGGCGAACTAGAAAAACAGGACATGCTCTGAAATGTGAAATGCCTTCACTTTTTTTTCCTCATGAGATGGTCTTTAGTGTTCAGATTGGGCTTCAGCACAATAATGTAACATTTAGGGAGAAAGATGCACCCCAGAAGACCAGCCCCAGAAGACAAGATGGAGAAGACCTCCACGGCCACCATGGCTTTCCCCTTCGTGCTCAGGTAGGTGGGCACAAAGGAGACCCAAACACTGCAGAAGACCAGCATGCTGAAGGTGATGAACTTGGCTTCATTGAAGTTGTCAGGCAGTTTTCTAGCTTGGAAAGCCACCATGAAGCTGCTGAGGGCCAGGAAGCCCATGTAAGACAAGGCTATGTAAAACATCGTGACTGAGCCTTCATTACATTCTACAACAATCTCCCCAGCCATGGAATGGTAGTCCAAGTTTGGGAAGGGGGGGGAGGTCACCAACCAAACAACACAGATCACAGCTTGGATGTGGGAACAGACCAGCACAATGGAGGTTGTCAGAAGTCTCCCCAAGAGTTTTCTGGCCATGTTTCCTGGCTTGGTGGCCATGAAAGCCAGGATCACCATGATAGTTTTTGCCAAAATGGAAGAAACAACAACAGAGAAGGTGATGCCAAAAGCAGCTTGTCGGAGAAGACATGCAACCTTTGTTGGTCGACCAATGAAAAGGAAGGAGCAGAGGAAGCAGAGCAAGAGAGAGATGAGGAGGATGTAGGTGAGGTCTTGGTTGTTGGCTTTGACAATGGGTGTGTCATGGTGGATGATGATAATTGCCAGCATTAGAGAAGTGACCAGGGTGAGGAGAAAAGCCAGAGAAGCTAAAACAACCCCCAGGGCCTCTTGATAGAAGAGGAAGTGGATCTTCTTGGGAATGCACTGGTCCTGGCTCTTGTTGGGATGTTGATCCTTTGGGCATGGGATGCATCGATCAGCATCTGAAATGATCAGTGGCTATTGAAGCATCTCAGATAGGAAAAGGGCATTCATGTTATATGACTTCGTTCAACCCTCTAAGAAGGTTTCTCTAATTTGTTTTACGCATTGGCTCAATTTCTGTACTTGGTTATCATGAGGGTAGAGTCAGAGAAAATGCGAAATATTTTTTTTCTCCCTTGTATCACATGAACCCCTGTACTGGACTCATGCTCAATTCCATGCAAGGGAAAAAAATACCACAATTGCTTTAACTAGAAAACAACTTTTGGCAACTGTAGGAAATGAATCACTTATGTTCCCAATGAATTCCTTGCATTGCCTTTCAAAGGGGCAAAGAATGTTCAAAATACCAGTCATGATCTGCATGCATTTATCATTTATCACATTGATTCCTCACCTTTTCCCTTCAAGCAATCCGAGGTGACCTCCATAAACTTTCACCTTGCCTCCACTGTATCCTCATAGCAACCTTGTGAGGTAACTTAGGCTGAGAGCAAGTGGCTTGCTCAAAGTCACTTGCTGGGCTCCCTAACCAAATAGGCACCAGAACCCATATCTCCTGAGCCCCAGTTAAATATTCTCACAACCATGCCTCCTGGGCACTCTGCAGAAGCTTAGGAGAAAAGGGGAAAAGGTAGAGAGACCACACCGTAAGTAAGTAGTTACTTATGGTGTGGCCTTACGGTGTGGTCTTTCTACCTTTTCTCTCTTAGAAAAGGTAGAGAGTCCACGCCGTAAGTAAGTAAGTAATAGTATGATGATGCGGAGACAATATGCTTCAGTTCTTGCAAGACTGCTCAGCACTTGCTCGGTGAACACTCGAGCCAAAGGGCTTCAAGGCTGACCCAGAGGGTCAATAGCAGGGGGTGAACTGGCCTGCATCATAGAACTCCTGATCCTCAGAGACCCCTCCCACTGACTGTACATCTTGGCTGTTCCCAGGAACTGCCTGGCTCAGCAAAGCCCCTAGGCTTGAGATAATCACCTCTTCTTTCCCCTCGTGCATCGCAGAATCTTGACCTTGCCCATCCTTCCCAATCTCACTGAAATGTCTTTCATCTTCCAATTGGGCATCAGCATCTGGAATGCAGCCAGCAGTCTGGAGAACAATTGCCCAAGACCATCATTCCTCTGACTCCCAACAATACCTGTCCAGTTAGAAACCATCCCCTCTGGACAAGGATCACAGATGTAACAGCAAACCGGCTTCCCCTCTTCAACCTTTCTCCTGTGCCCTGGAGAGCAGTGCTCCACACACCTCGCAGAAGGTATCAGCTGAAAGAGAAACCAATATCTGGATGAGATGAAGTGCTCTGAACAGTGCATTGCTACTCAACAGTTACATGGGTTCCTCAGTGGAGTTTTGCATGACCCAGTGGATGGGTTGCCCATTCAGAGGGCCAGAGGATCCTTGCTGGTCTCTTGTGATGACTGGGCTCTGATAGAAAACAGCAAGAGGAATGGTGGAAGGTGCTGTATCCCAATAAAGTCAAGGGGGTGGATCCACCTGTAATTATCTTCCCTCTCCCTTGAAGTGCTTCACACCACTCAGTAGGGAGAAGCGGGGGCTCCTTGTCTCTGTTTGCTTGGAGAAGGCCGTCAGGTGCAGATTCCTGTCTGAGTGTGGCCCCTCCTTTCCTTCCACTACACTCATGTTGGACTCCTGGTTGGAGAATAGTATAAAACGTGTTGGTGCAGAAGCAGGAATGTCAGAAATTGTCTTCACCTGAGTCAGATCCTTGGTGCACTAGGCAGAACAGGAATGGCAACACCTCTCTGGTACCTCACCCATGGGCTCTTTTTCAAGCCCTTTATAGACATCCTGGAGACCATCCTGGGAGCATCTGTACAGCAACTATGACTGGGCCCAGAAACACAAGAACTCCCACTCAGGGGTTGAGTGGGACTTCAGGGGCTCACACTGAATCATGGCTACTGAAAAATGGGTTGACTGAACCAACCTGAATGAGCAACCCATGACCAGCCCATGAAGAGAACACTTGGCTTGTTGTTTGGTGGTGAACTGTGGGGTGCTCATGCTTAAGAAATGATGGTTAGTTAGTATGACTGCATTCAGACAATACAACATCCACCATTGCAACATCAACTCACTGTTCCATGACAACCCGCTGGAAATCATACTCAAGTCATCTCCTCTGATTTTTCCCTTCTTTTCCAATACTGAATTAACAACCTCTCTTTCAACTTAGCAGGCCTTAGTATGTCTCTTAATGGGAGAAACACTATTGTCTCAAGGGATAGAAATTCAGAATTCTTTAGTTCTCACATGACATTGGGACATTGAACCCCACCTGTGTAGGCCACACAATTGCATCAGTATGAATGGTGAACTCTTGTCCTGAGGGAGCTTCCAGATCCACATCTCCTACTTTCACAGGAGCAAAAGACAAATTTGGAAAGACAATCCAGTTCAGGATATCATATCTCTTGCCATTCCCAAAAAAAGAGACTTCATCTCCAACACTGTTGTTAAACCGGACATTCTTCAAGGAGGCAAGAATCTGGAATTGAAGAGACCAAGAAAATTGAGCAATTGCAAATGAGTTCTGGTGTCTTCAAACATGCGGCACATTCATTATGTTCTGAGAGTTTGGTTTGGTCTTTCCCATTGTTTAGCTTTTTTGCTGAAGATTAATTCATGTGTCAAGTTCTAGAATATTTTTCAGAGCTTGTTTCCTAAGCAGATCAGAGCATGGCCTGGAATACTAACTGTATAAATATCTCCTCATCTACACATTGAAACAGTGGAGAAAAGATGAAAACAATCCTGATGTGAAGCCAGGAAAATGTGTCCTAACACCCTATAGGATGCAGCCTTTGCCATGAATTGAACCAGGCAAAGACATTTAGAGGTTCAATTGGAACAAAATGAAGAGATGACTCCAGTGCAAAATTGGACCAGAATCTCATCAGAATCCCAACACAAGTTCAGCTTATTGAGAGATGACCGGAGCAGCTTTGCCAAGAAAAGCAAAGAGATGAACACAACAGAGTCCTCAGCCAGCTATCAAGAAAGAAGATTGGAGATCTTTAAGTACATGACAACTGCAGCAAGAATTATGATGGCTTCTAAATGGAAAACATCAGAATGTCCAACAACCGAAGACTGGAAAAATAAGTGGTCTGAGTACGCAGTTATGCCAAAATTAACTAATTACATAAACAGAAAACTTATTGTAGAATTGAATGATAAATGGAAATGCTATTATATGCAGTTCAATAAACAGGGAACCAAATGGAACCTGAAAAAATATTGTTGATGATCCGCATTCCAATGTAAATCTTATGCAATCATTAATAATTGTCTCAACTTACTGGTTTAAAAAACTACATGTATATTTATAAGCTTCAAGAAAGTACTGATTGAGAGCCAGTGGGGTGTAGTGGTTAAGAGCATGGGACTGGGACTCAGACGATCTGGGTTCTAGTCCCCACTCAGCCATGGAGCCAACTGGGTGACTTTGGGCCAGTCACAGACTCTCAGCCCAACCTACCTCACTGGGTTGTTGTTGTTGTGGGGATAAGATGGAGGAGGAGAATGATGTAAGCTGCCTTGAGCCCTTTGTAGGAAAAAGGCAGGATATTAAAAAAATAAATAAATAAAAAATCAAATAAAGATAGAAATCTTTACTTTTTGGGAAATTTACCAGGTTTTGAAACTGTATGTTATATTTGTGTAAAATCCCCTGGCATTCTTATTGCTTGTTCACATTTTTTTTCTTTGCATTTCACTTCCTTTAAGAAAGCAATAAAATCACTTAATAAAAGGGAAAGAACATTGAGGAAAGCAGGTATGTAGACCGGAAGTTGATTTGGGATGCAGATTGCTTGATTCCTCCCTTTCCAAAATCCACATTCCACCATGCTGAAGGCACAACTTTCACAGAACCCATATGTGTGTCTGCAACCATTACTGTTTTTCTATGTTCATTTAAGGAAATAATGCCAGTAGAAGAGCATCCAAGGGGAGCATCTTCCTTAGGATATTGAGAATGCACCAACATTCATTCTGCCATGCTCAGCCTTTTCTCCCAGATGGGGGGGGGGGGAAATTGACATCAGAACTCTTAAATTGGATTGACCAACTGGAAAGAGGCCTATACCTGCCAAGGCTGAATGTTCAGAAGTCTCTTGCCTTCACTCATTGTTCCATGTTTTGATCTAAATACTCCTTGCAATGCATGTGCCACAGAATACACGCTGTTGTAAATGTTGTAGCTGCGAGTGGTCATGCTAATTTGCAACTTGTAGTATGGCAAGGCCTCTGGCCTCTCCTTCCCAGTGCATAGTCTTCTTCCCCATTCAGGGCTTTGGCCTGCATATGGAAACTCACAGCCAAATGCCAGTTCCCACCATTCCTGCAGGAAGACATTTCCTTGTGGCTGGAGTGGATCTAAAGCCAGGATAAAATGTGTAAATGCTGGCACATCCCCCCTATGAATTCTGAAATGCAAAGCACCATGGATGGTTTTCTCATATTGTGCACGAGAAGAAGCTTGTGCTGCAGCCATTTCCCAGTGGGAGGTCAGGATCCAAACTTTCCAAAATGGGGTCTTGGTCCTTTCTACATGATTCCTTAATAGCACCGTTAATTGTTGTATAGCACTTGTATCCCCAAATAGAACAATGACTTGGGGCTCAAACCAAGAATTCGGAACCAAACCCATTTGCACCTGATGCTGATACAGAGGGTGGGTTGGGTTGAACATCTCAGTAAAAGCCACACAGATGTCCTCCTTCTGGAGCATTGGTGTCAGAGTCTGGATGAACTTTTTGCCACGATCATCATTGTGAGCCATCAGCCCAACCCAGTTCCAGTGGAAATGCAGTAGCAGCCAGACTAAGCTCTTATGCTGAGGAATGTCATTGTGATCAATCCGATGAAAGGATGGAAATTCACTTTTCTCTCCCTGAACATTGTCAACCAGGCCATACCCAAGCTGAGGGAAGGAATGTCCAGTTAGTCTACAGCATCACAATGTGCAACCAGCACATATTTTATGGCAACCCCTGTGAGGAGACCAGCAACTGGTTCCAGATGTCTGGACTGTCATACTGAAGGAAGGCACCCAATTCTAAAATGGATGCCTGAGAGCAAAGTTGAGTTGTGGGATGTCTTTTATTTTCTCCCCCTCACACATTCTGGGTATTGTCCCAGAGAATCAATCCTGGCACCATTTCTCCCCACAGCCAACAAAAGGCCCTTCTGTTAACATTCAAAATGAGACCTGGGGTGTTAAAGCACCCTTGCCAAATATGATCCTTGGCACCCTGCAGCCAGTCTATGTGAGAATGCAACACCACACACAAACAGGGCATACTGTTGGAGGGAATTGTTCTCCTACTGCTGCTCATTGCCATCATCCCTGTACTGCCACACCACCAAATATTGTTGGGTCAGATCCTCATGCTTGTTGCTGAAACACAGTCTAGTTTCAGTGGACATAAGAACATACCAAATAGTCATGCTGGATCAGACCAAAGGTCTCACCTAGCAATCAATGCTTTTGATTGCTAGGTCAGCAATCAAAAGCATTTTCTTGAATGATACACCCATTGTTGCAAGGATTAGTCCCACCAAAATTATCATGCGGCAGGTAAAACAAACTCAGAAGCCTGCATCCCACTAATCTAGGATGAAATCAATGCACCTGCTGCATGGGGAAATCAACTTTTTTACATTAGCCTATGTATCATAGTGCTTCTGAACTTGTCTCCAGATGAACCTCTCTACCTGTGGGATCTTGTAGATGCCCATGAGGGAAGCGATCTCTCTTGAGGTTTTGGAGTCAAGACCCCCAATAACAGAGAGCAGTTTATCCTTCCTGTCACATTTATAATTGGGAACCATTCGCCCTTGAGTGGACAGTAGAGCGAGGTTATTCTCATGTATCCTTCTCATAAGATCCATGTTCTGAAAGATGAGGAAGCCCACTGTTGTATTGGGAAGGAGTGTTGGATCCTTGTTGAGCTCAGTGATGGCAAATGCAAAGGCCAAGAAGTGCTGGAAGTTCTTGATTATCGTCCTGCAGTGATGAGAGTGGCATAGGGAGGTGGTTGATGATACCAGTAGAACTATGAGAAGTGAAGCATTAAAATGTGCCTCTGGTGAGTCCCTCTTAGTACATAGAAGACAGCTTCCAGACCAAAGCCAGAGATTCAGAGATAGTCAAATTCATATATGGACACAGTCTAGTTAGAGTCATTTTATAAGAACCTTGTTGTGTTAAAGAATTGAATTCTTCACATTTATCTAGTATCTGTTTTCACTTTTATGCGCTCCCTATCAGCATCCTATTGCTTCCAAAATGGCTTACCCCAAATCCCAAAATACAAAAACAATTAACAAGGGATACTGCTCAGTGATTACCAGATTTTCAACCAGAAATCCATTTGTTTCCCTCTGTTCCCTCCATGAAATCTCTTGGAAGGAGAAGAACCCTCAACCCTCTGTGGGTCATTTTGAGTTGATGCAGGTGTCCCAAGCCTTTGAGAGCAATGGCTCCATTCAGGGCATTTTGGACATCACAGCTGCTGATCCCTGGATGGACCTCCCCTCTGAAACAAAGCAGGCAAGCCACATTCCCAAACCCCTCCCGGAAACATACGCTGGAAGAAAGAGGATCTCTCCTGTGTCTAAAGTATGAAATTCTTCTGTGTTTGCATAGGAGTAGCTGCCAAGCAGTAAATTCCCACCAACAATGAAGTCACCTGGCCTGTAATAGCCTTTCCATTCATTCGGTCTGGTCAAGGGGCACTTGGTCTGCATCATGTTCTGGGTGACCTGTGGCAGAAGCCAAAGCAGCAGAAGCAGCAGCATCAGGAGGAGAAATGGACTTTCCCTCCTGGTCCAGTGACTGAGCAGAAGCTGCAATGGGGCAACTTTAGAAGCCCCAGCAGGGGTGCCAGATCTCATCAAGGAGCAGGGAGAGAGCAAGCAAGAGGACCAACCTGGAAGGGCACAGAGCACATTCATATGAAGAAGGCTTTCTCTAGCTTTCCTCATTATACACTTCTGGACAGAAATCCTTGGGGGTTCGCTCAGGAATTACTGTAATTTGAGAAAGGCCAGATAGAAAATTAAGAAAAGTCCCTGGCTCTTTGAGGTAGAAGAAAGCACGTTTTTTTTAAAAATCATTCAGTGTTTTTCTGTGGGCAGCTGGACTTCCTTGTTGTTGCTACACTCTGCCATTTTACCAGTGTAAATATGAGCCCCATTTTCCATTATGGCATCCAGGCTTGGACAAACCTTCGTTAGCCCCAGTGGATAGCTGGAGAGAGAGTTGCAGCTGTGTAAGTCAGCAGCACCGGGCAATATGGCATGGCTGGGTGAAAGGACTCATAAGTCATAACAACTCGGAGGTATATTTGTATGACCTCTTCTGAAAGAACCATGGAATCTGAGTGAATCCTGTGCAGTTTGTTTTTACTCACCAAACACGGAAACATAGAAACAGAGTCAGAAGATGTTGTGCGTGACAACTCAGAGGAGTCGTTGGTGCACATGAGAGAGTAGGATGCTCCCTGCAAGAATCAAGCCCCAGAGCAGGAAAATTTCTACCTGGTGCCCATTGTACAACTCACCCGCCCTCCGCCCTCTGACTCTGATGAAGTTTTTCAGGCAGGGGAGATGAGCAGTTTTCAGAAGAAACTGATAAAGGAATGAGGGCAGAGGGAGGTGAACCGGTTACTGTGGAAATGGCAAGACTTGTCTGACCCGCCCCAGGAGGGGTGCCTGAGATGGGTCAAGAGTGTTTCGTAATCTGATCTCCCTCAGAAGGAGGAGACAACTTCGCCATTAACATCTTCTTTACAAGTTCCTTTGTTGTTTATTGCACGCGTAGCTTTGAAATTTCTTAGAATAAAAGATTTAAAACTCTAACTGCCAGCTTCTGTGTGAGTGTGTGGGATGAGTGCTCCAGCCACACGACAGAAGGGGCCTCCTGGGCCATCGAGTCTGACTCCCAGGTCCAGCTGTCTCCACTCATGACATTCCTACCATATTAAACCTTTTTTTCCATTTAATATTGCAAATTAACCTAGTATTAATAGCTATATTCCAGACTTCTTTATATCAGTTAACTATTTGATATTCACCTGTTATTTTTCAGTTCCTTGATATTATTAATCTTACTGCTAATAAATTTAAAATCAATTCTTTAGTATTTTGTCCCATCTATACTCTAAATAATGGCAATAATGTTCACCCTGGGTCAACTTCAGTATTTAAATTCAAGATTTTATTTATTTCTGTGAAAACAATTTCCCAGAACTCATTTATATATTTACACTTCCACCACATATGGAAATATGTGCCCACTTCCCAGTTGCATCTCCAGTAAACAGTGGAGTATTCATTATTCATGCAATTCAATTTAATGGGAGTGAAGTACCATTTCCAAACCAGTTTATAATAATCCTTTTTAATTCTTATTGGCATAAATTTTAAAATTCTCTTTTCCCACATATTATTCCATTCTTCAGTACTAACATTTATTTTTAAATCTATTTCCCAAGACTCTTTACAATCATCTCAATCCTCCTCTTCTAGTAATATATGATAAATTTTACTTATTCCTCTCATCCACACATTGTCTTGTTTTTCTTTCTGTAAAATTAAATCTTTAAATTTAGTATACTCTTACATTTATCATTTTCTCAAACCAGTCTTTAGTCCAAAAATCTAACTGAAGTATAACAATTCATTTTACCCTGTCTCAGTCTTGCTCGTATCTTTTATTTACTCTTAATTTTCTCAAGCCAGTCTTTCAACTGATTAACATGTTTATGCTTCAGTATTTCCCTCAAGCTACTCCTCAGAGTCACTGGGAATCTTTCTAATTCCTTAATTGGATATAGTGAAACTGATGCGATACATGCCATGGTTGAGTGGGGCTCATGCCCCGATCACGTAATATACGTAAACCACTCATACATGTTGCTGAGACACATGGCATGAACCTATCAGAAGAAGTCTATAGAACGTTCTTCTTGTAAATTTGATTTGTAAAGCCTGGGAATCTTGTAAATGTGTGTACATTTGGCTTTTTGAAACCATGTAAATAATGGATGGGGTACTTTTCTATTTCTGTAATGTTGCAATTATTGTGCCTTTTTGTAACTTTTGTAGTATGTTTTTATTTAAATAAAAAATTTCAACCAAAAAAAAATTTTCAACCTAAATTTATTCCAAATTCTGAAAATATTCTTAAAAATAGAATTTCCTATCTTTTTAATAGTATTCTCATTTTCTTGTTGGAGAAAAAAATATTTAAGAAGGGTCCCTCTACATACTGATATTCTTATTTACCCCATATTCTCTTATCTGGCTGTAGTACCTCAGATGCCCCATTTGATTAGCTACAAATTAGATACTAAAATTTAACATTGGGAATAAAGAAACCCCCTGTTTCCTGAGGCATATACCATCTTTTAAAAAAATGATCCTCACTTTCTTGTCTCCATTACAAAATATCTAATGCTTTAAAAATATCTAATGCTATTATACTACCTTTTAAATTTTCCTTGTATAAATGTTTAATATTTAATACTCTTCCAGTCAAGAAGAAAGCCATATGATTTTCATTCAGTGAGTATATCTTCATTAAATTATTGTTCTCTCCTCTCAGCTATCTCTATATTATCTACCCTTTTCTTTTTAGCACTCTTTGTAAAATCTACCTGTTTCATTTTTCATTTTATTTTAAATTCAGATTTTTCAGATATAATAATTGCCACTCCCCTTGACTTAGAATTCCCATATGTTTTCTCATAAATATTCAACAATGATACCTTTAACTCATTGACCCCCTCTTTTCTTTGACATGTGTCTTGCAAAAACACAATATCTGCTTTGCAACGGCAAGACAAGCTGCCTCCACCAAATGCTGCCGAAAGTCCCCTCCTTCTGTCAGCCCCCCAGGACTAGAAAAGGCTTAATCCTGGCCCCTGACAAAGAAGCGGCACTGGTCCAGCACACATTGAACCAAGTTTTGGAGGAAAAGAGTCTTTATTGGAAAACAGACACACACACAAAGAGTACAAAAAACTTTGGCTACTCAGGAGTAAGAGAAGGGAAAAGGGGAGAAGGGTGAGGTCGTTGCTCTGTGTCAATACAATTCCAGAGGTTCACCCCCTCAGGTCTTTTGACCATCCCAGACTCTAAAACAACAAACACTAACTGAGCTAAAAACCTAATAACTCTCTCACTATACTAAACCGATCCCCTCAGAGTAACTGTCCTGATCTCAAGGGCTTCGGAGTTTGCCAGCTGACGTTCCTCCATCTACCTGCCAGGGGAGGCATGCCAACATGGAAGTCAGCTTTCCTTTTATTCCCTCCCCAGACAAGCAGAACCCTTCGATTTCCATGTTGTCATCCAGAAATCTAAACCATTTGCCCTCCCAGGGGCACCAGATCCCCAAAACTAATTGTCTTATTGCCATTATCTCCCTTGCTTCTGCCTGGCATCCTTCTGGGGAAGATGGTATCTAACCTTGTAAATCTTCAGGCCTTCAATCTTTCTCCTCCCTCCACCTAACCTCTGTGACAGAGCATCCCTGTCACAGCCACCTGGGTCTACTCAGCTCTCCCCAGCAGGCTGGCTGACTCCATCTTTAAACCCCTACTTCTCCTCGAGTATCATAAGGCCCTTTCCTTTACTTGGTTTATCTTTATTTATTACTACTTCATTTTTCCTTTTAATTACATTCTCCAAACATTGGAGATAATTCAAAGATAATACTATTACAAATTAAGCATTTCAAATTTAAAACAGATATCCTTGTTGGTCCTTTGAACACACCCACAAATATACTTAAAAAAACTTTAAAAAGAAAAAAAGAACACCTT